CGGAAAGCGCAGGAGGGTCATCGACGACGACGATGAGGAGGAGGACGACGATGAATAAAAATGTATTCTAGTGGTTTCCCTCTTTTTTCCTTTTCCTCGCTCAGCCAAATCTGGCCTTGTTAGTCTTCTAGATTGTCTGTTTGCTCTGAAACCTCTGTCCACCATCAGATTCTACCATACCCACATTACCGCCCCAAAACCATCTTCAGCCGAGTGACATCCCATGCTCCGCAACCCAAAAATGATTCATTAAGATAGCCCTCAAATAGCATAAACACACCCAAGCACCAACCCTCAATATGAAAACCACATGAAAGCAAAAATGAAATAAAAGAAGCGAAGGAGAAAAAGAGCAGCCGATACCCATATAACAAACACTAATCAACAAGAATATCTAAATGCCCTCCTCTGTCCCGACCTGCGCCCTCTCCCTTTGTTTGGGAAAAGAATAGCCGTCTAGGAACCACTCAACACCAAACAAGCATCAACCGCTGACCCAACGCTGTCCGATCGTCAGCCGAGCTTTCCTCAAATCCTCAATCACGCCACCAGCAAAAAACAGCACTAACCTCCCCTCCTTCATCCGGACCACGTCAGCAATTATCTCCTTGTCCAGGTCCGGGAACATGTTCTGTAGCACCTGGACCACGCTCTCATGCTCGCTTCGTTGGATAATGCGGGCTTGTTCCGCTTCCGCTTCTGCCTGGCGGGCTGCGGCTTCTGCTGCTGTGAGCTTGTCCTCGCGCTTGCGGCGACCACCAACGGCTGTTATCAGACTGCCTTCTGCGCCGGGGGAGCCGCGGGGGGTGTTTCCCGGGGCTGGAGTAAGGGCGGGTCTACCAGCGGCCGCGGTTGTGTTGCTGGCTGCTGGCTCATCTGTAAACATTCGCCCAATGGTGGTTAGTGGGCGTTGGATGCTACGGAGGAGACCAGCCACCGCAAGCTTTTCGTCATCACCATTGGAGGTGGAGGAGTCGTTGCTCTCTCTTGAAGAGGTGGAGAGACGGGGTTGCTCGGATGATGCCCTAGGGGTTATCAATGGACCGGAGCAGTTGCCCTTCTCATTGACGATTTCATTGCCATCCCCCCTCGATGCGCCGGCAGAAGTTGTTGGCGACGGGCGTTCCGCTATCTGTGCTACAGCTGCTTCCACGTTACTCTCAAACTCCTCATCCGTAATGGTTAGGCTTGAGCGATCGAGCCCTTCTATAAACTGAATTGCTCCCATCTGTCCAGAAATTAGCCACAGCCTCTAGCAGGCCGCGGGAAAACCAACCAAACTACTCAAATAGTATCCTGCTTCCCCATTAAGCTTATCCGGGTTCCTGAACCGTAGGATATACTGCACGTTGCTCACCAGATTCGCCGGGTTCGCTTTGAGAACGACATAAATCAGCAGCGGAACAAACTTATCCGCACTCTCGTCGCCACCAGAATGCCGCAATAACCCTAGGCCACCTATTAGCATCTCCACCCCACCAAATAGCTTCCGAATGAACTCACCAAATATCACTTTGCAGCAATTAAGCACGCAAATGACTTTATCCCTGGGAGCTCTATAGCTGCCCATCTTGGTCATTTCGTTTACCGCCAAGTCAAGGAATTTCCGGCCACTCTCTTCGGTAACAGCATCCTGAATGTCGAGATGCTCTTCACGAACCCAGCCGTAGATTCGTACCTTCTGCGCCAGGACCTCATCTCTCTCAACGTCCTCTTGGTGTTGACCTCTTCTCCCAGGAAACTTTTCATCCCGATCCCTCCGATACCGCCTAGCCCCAACAGCAGGATTTGCCTGAGGCGGTGGAATCTCAGGCGAGAAGGTTTGCGTGTACAGTCTATTCATAACAAGCTTTTCCATTCCTTCTCTCGCATTATCCATCTCCACTTCACCCACATTTAGCCAAACTTCGCATGTCTCCATTTTTCCGTATATGAAATCCAAAAAGTCAGACACAATCTTGACCTGCTCGTGGACCATCCATTGCTTCTTCGCAAACTCGTTTAAAAAGCTGCGGAGGAATTTTGCTACCGGATCCGCAGACCGGTGGCGTAGTTGTGACAAAAATCTGTGAAAGTCGAATGGGAGGTCTTCATCCGGGGGCGGCGGTTGGTGAACGGTAGGCACGTGTGCAGTGTGGGAATCCGGCTCCTTTAAGGCCGACTTGCCTTTTTCTGAGAGGCTGGGCGTGCCAGATGAAGCACGGACCAAGTAATCGGTTCCATCAAGCGAGGATGTTCTCGGTGGATGTCGAGCGCCAATCATTGCCTCAGCTAAAGCTGGTGAGGCCGAAGAACTAGGGTGTGGGTGTTCTGTAGAGGTTGGGGCACTACTCTGTTCAAAAATATTATGGATTTCAGATCGGGTGCTATCCCCCGCCTCGTCCTCAGAGGAAGATGCACTCGACCCTCCCTGGTGTGACGAGCCCCTGCGGGATGGCGATGCTGATTTCGAACCGGGCCTGCTGGGCCGGGGCGTGACTGATGGGCCAAGGCGTGCCCGATCCTTTGGCGGCACATCCTTTGGCGGCACATCTTTTGGAGGTACGTCCTTGGGTGGGACATCCTTGGGTGGGACATCCTTTGGCGGAGGCGGGGGAGGAGGAGCAGCAAGAGCGGCATCCTGTTCATGCTTCGCAAGTGGATCGTCCTTGAGAGGTGTAGGAGGTCTGTAATCCCCATCGCCCTTCTCGGGAACCAACGAGTCCATTGTAACCGTCGAAACCGGATCTGGACCTACGGGGAAGATGGATAAGGCCCCAGATTTGCTAGTCAACAAGTCTGTCGAAGCTTCAGACGATGCGTTTGGCGGCTGAGAAGCTTGCCTCCCCTCCTCCTCGGACTTGACAGGTGTCAGAGCAGATGCCATCTCGTCTTCCACTTTCGCAGGTGCCCTCGCCTTTTGGTCGGCCCCAAAGCTATCCAAAGTTTGTACCTGAGCAGTTGTGACGCGCACGCTCGCTACCGGAAGCTCGCTATCGTTCCCTTGGAACCCCCCCTTCAAAACGTTCTGAAAGTTCTCCTGGTCAGCCCTCAAAGTAGTCACCCCATTGCTCTTTCCTGTGCCCTCTTTGACACCACCCCCTTCACCCACTGCCACTGTTTTTCCTGAAGGATCAACGCTTGGCGATTCAACATAGTCAACCATTGTCGAGGATGAAGAACGTGAGGTGACGACAAGGTTTGGTGACCTTTTGAACCGTAGCTGGCGTGCCAAGTGTGTCTGGTCCACGGAGTAGCAATAAATTAGGCTCGCGGCAAACAAAGGCGAGGCGGGTCGCAGGGAGCTGCGGGTGGGTGGCAGGGTACCGGTAAGCGACCGGTCGTGGGGTTCGTCCGTGCAATAGCACGATAACAAATATTATTAAAAAAAAAGGAAAAAGGAGAGAAGAAATCCCAAGGAAAGGAAGAGCAGAAAACTTTTTAACAGTAAGGACGAAAAAATGCTATGGTAACCTGAAGTCAGAAGAAAGTTCGTATCGTGTATAAAAACAAGGAATTTGGAAGGCCCGGGCCCGGCAACCCGCACAGCCCTCGCACGCTGACGAAAGTCGACGGATAGAGCCTTGGCAGCACGCAACATCTCAGAAATCACATCACTGTACTCGTACGAGTACGAGTAAATTTACCGTACTTGTAGACTATCCCATCCTGTCACGTCCCGTTCCCCAAACTCGTTTTATTTCAAATAAAGCACACTCACTACCTTACTCGAGTACAGCTTTACAGCAATACTAGTAGAATATTATATTTCCTTAGCCGCCGCATGAAAGTGTCCGCGCCCCGCTTCCAAATAATACGGTAGATGCAAGAAAGCCGTCCCCCGATACCCTGCAAAGTGTCCCAAAATTGCCACGCGCCAGCCGGAGGAAGGCCGAAATACTTGAGTGCCTTACTCGAGTACAGCACAAGGCACATACAAGTTATGCGGGGACAGGAGAATTCCCAACAATCCCGCCACCCCGTCAATATGCGTACCGGTATTAGATAAGCACAGAACCCTCAATGCATGGTGGGGGTGGAAAAAAAAAATTGATTTCATTGATCACAAGATTTCTCTTGCAGCGGGACACCGGTATCGTATTGAATTGGTACCGGTAGTGCATCAAGAGGCTGTTACTCGAGCAGGATCGGCCGGAGGATGTTTTTCCGTTATCCCCCCTCCTCCCACCCTGCCATCATATATAATAACTGTACCGTACTCGAGTACTGTAGTCTACTGGTACGGTACAGCGACACCCAGTTGTCCCGGGTGATCAAAATTCTAGGAATCCGTCCGGGACAACGAATTAACTTACCCGGGAGAACAGGTTGACAACTGCGGAGCTGCCGCCGAGCCAGTGTATCGCCAGCCTATGCTCCTCGAGACCTCAGCGGGGTTGGAATTGATTTGCTCCTTTTGGAATTGGTCCAGGACCTCTGGCCAAATAGCCCCTACCGGTAGATCCTAGCAATGTGGAGATCTGGTAGGCACCTCCTCTTATGATATTTTCAATGGCACCAGAGATATATCTGTTGGTTGCTCTCACGGTCTCATTTTCATTTTTTTTCATTCTTTCATCCTTCCATTCCGCCCGCTTCCTAGGAATGCCTTGTTGACGGGCCTGGGAGTTAGGACAGAAGGGGAAAAAGTTCTACTTAGATGTCTTATTGGATTAGCCGTCTGAGATGGGCTATACGGTGTGGTACTGTACATAATATTGTAGATAATGTCATGGCATAGATTTTCTGTGGCTGGTTCGAGCAGGGGATTATATGGATAGCGGTACCGTATTGCCAGGCCTTCCTTGATCCTTGGCGTGCTTTGGTGGGTAACGGCAAAGGCAAATCTATCTACTCGTATTCTCCCTGGTGCCAGAGAGCCTTAGAAATAACTAGAGAATAGGTAGTAAAGCACTTTGCCTGGTAACAGAAATGTTGACAATGGTACTCGAGTAGAGAAGGTGGGTAGGAGGCAATGCAACCTTGTTCCACGGTGAATCTTTATCCTCAACAATTCCTCTATGAAAGGGACTGCTCTACAAGAAAGAAAGGCAAAAGAAAAACAGAGAAAGGAAAATTCTAGTGATGCTTATCCTCTGTCCTCCATGTTTCCTCTGTCCTCCATGTTTCCCCTCTCCTTTTGCTCCTCTCCCCTTACTAGCCACTTTTCCATCTCTGTCATCCGTAGAAGGGGGTAGAACCTTCCAAATAGCAAACAAAAGTTGGACAACAGCTATCATTGCCATCTCTTGTAAGTGTCCTCCAATTTCCTAACGGTATCACACCCATAAATTTGTGCCGTAAACGCTATTATGCAACGCCGTGCGTTGTTGATGTGAGTTACAAGTAACGCCTTGAATTAGAATAAATAAATGGCTGAATAGATGGATGAATGAAATAAGGAAAAAGTCTTTTTCATCACAAACATAGTACAAAAAGTAACAGGATCAATGCCGTCCCATCAACCAACCCTCGCTCTGCCACGCCACAGGCCATGCCGCCGTAAGAACAAGTCCATCTAATCCAATAAACTCGGTTGCCCGAAAGGGGATAGAAAAAGTGAAAAATAAGAAAAGAGAAACCCTAGTTTACAGCAATATGAAAAACAACCAAGAATGGGGAAACACCGCGGACTCTACCAGTATTAGCATAAAATATGTTTGTAGTCAGAGAAAACAGAAAGCAGCTATTGACGCATGTGTAGCCCCTTGGCCCATTCCGGTAATACCCCAGTTTCCATCCATGCTTGGCCACAGTTGTGGCATAATGTCTGTGAAGAAAATTAGCACAGCGGTCGAAATCGAGAGTGGAATATATATGTTGCATATGTATACCTACCTTTGGGCCATCAGGACCCTCTCTAACACCCCAAGTACCAGTCCCGGGGATAAAACACCAACTGCACCTCCAATTCTGTTTCTCCCATTCCGTGAGGCCTCCGTTGAGAATGCCGCCAGACCCATTGATACCGTTCCCTTGCTGATTTGAAGGGGTGCGGGTCGGGGTTCCACGGGCCGGCGGTGAAAAGCTGCGTTGACGTTTCCGCTTCACTCGGCTTCCACGACCCATTTGCTCTTCTCCGCCCATATCGTTCGATGCGCCGGGTCCCCAATGTGAAGGCATTATGACACCACCTGGCGCCCCCCCTAGTCGGGCCGTATCACGACGCAATCTACGAATTTCCCTCTCGCGGTCTCCCTCCCGTTTGTCGATCTCCTCACGAGTAAGCGTTTCAACCTTGGACTCCCATTCGGCGCCCAAGGACTCCAGGTCCACACGCCAGCCAGCTTCCGTCTCTGGCCGATGCGCGTCATTCTCCAGTTCAGGAGTGATGCCCGTCTCACAGAGGTCCTTCTTCTTCTGCAGGCAGAATTCGTAGATTGCGTGCGCAATCGCTGGAATGAATTCACCCGTAAGCCCAAGGTCAGCAGCAACGGATTTCGCAAAGTATTCTGGAGAAAGGCCGCCTGTTAGATCCCATTCGAACCTATCGGTGTAGACGCGCTCCCCTAGGTTCACATTGAGGTTGCAAACCACTCGCATTTCCCCGGATTCCTCAGATATGGGAATTGCTGCTACCGGCGCATATTCCGATATTTGATCGCGGATGGCGGCGGAAATCATTGACGCATATGGCTGCAACGGCAGATCAAGATCTACACATGTCGTGATGGCGAAATTGTCTGGGGTGATCAATGTCTCATTGAGATTCCAAAGGAAGCTATCGTGAATTCGACCACGAGAGGGGGGATCGAGGTCAAAGTCCAAGCGAATTGGAATCAGTATCGACGGTAAATTGGATGCAGCCAGTAGTTGATGCTCGGTCCTTTCGAAAGGAAAGAAAAAAGAAGAAAAAGCAATAGTTAGCGCAAGTGGACAGTGTCGGAGAGCGACTCTGAATGTACCTATATACGCCTTGGCTGGTTCTGGGCTGTGCGGGTCGGCCCGGAACCTGTACTGGCCGTCTGATGGCTTCGACAACATTTCCCATAATGTTAGTCCCGAGCCCGTTCTGTGGGGGTCCACCGCCGACAATCAATGTATTAGGCCCCCGCTGGCCCACACTGCTCTCGCCATCAACCTCCAAATCATCGTCGCCGTCCACCTCGGCATAGTTAACGACAGTTGTTCCACGCTTTGTCCTCCCAGAGCTGCGCTCGCCGACGGGCGTCGCGCCAGGAGCACCGGAGGACGGATTGAGGCCGGCGGGTGTTATCAGGGCGGTGGAAAACGTGGCTATGCGAGTGGCATAGGTCGTTGTTAAGGCCTGTGGTGGCTTCATCGCTCTCGTGACAGTGAAGTTTTTGTTATCCGGAGGTAGCGAGGAGACGCTGTGGAGATGGTTCGGGGGACGGTGCGGATTTGTCCCTGGTGAAGAGTAGGCGTGGACTAAAGTTGAGTAGAGGCGCTGGAGGCGAACAAGGGAGACGCGATCGGATGGATGGTCCAGGGTGAACAGCGGGGAGGATGGGGGTCGGGACGTTGGTGGATGGGCAGCGTTGTTGTTGTTGATGGGTGTGGTGGATTGCGGGAAAGCGAAAACAGCGGCCTAGATCGGGAGGGGGTATGATGATGGTAGATCTCAGACTGGCCTTCGGAAACAAGGACGAGGGGCGATGCGCGGCTAGTAGTTTGCAAGTGGGGCACGTGATTTGGCGAGGCGCGCTGTGGCCGGGCGTGCCTCCTCCCTTTCTTCTTAACGCGAGGGGATCGGAGGACTGAACCGTTGAGCGAGAGGAGGAAAAGGAACTGGTATTGCGGATACCGTAGCGGTATCGCCACAAGAAGTAAGGCATGCATATCATACAGTGCTCGTACCGGGTTTTGGGTGTTTTGGTGAAGCTCTGCACAGGCAGGGGGATAATGACGGTACGTCTGATTTTCCTACGAAGATACACATATAATATTCTGAACCTATTTCTATAAGGCTATGCAACTCGATCGCCTCTTGCTCGCAAGAGCTCAATCTGAAAACCCCTCTTATCCTTGGTCCTCTCCCACGATCGGGGTCCTCCCAGATTTCTCGGGATCCTGCCCCTGTTGCCAAGTCGAGACTCTCCCCATTCCTTGGCCTTCCCACTGTCCCTCACTTCCACGCCATCTATCGGCCGAACAATTCTTTGATATAATACCGGTTTGTGTTGGATCTGTGCATAGGACTCTGAGAGGTGCAGATGGGGAAAAAGTCGTCGGGCCGATTGTCTTTGAGCCCCAAGTTCTGGCTGTGCACGCAGATCATATGCCAGACCCCTTAAAAAACTGTGGAATGGGGAAGAAAGATGATGGGCTGTCAAAATCCTACAGGCACGTTAGACGAATACCAAGATATCGGTATCAACCTCCGGGTGAATCTCCGCTGTAACGTCCTTGCTCAATCAGTACTGCAGTCTGCGATATGGTAGGGTACTGTAGCTCTTGAAATGGCCACTCTAATTCACCACACGGTATCATAATCGGGTACCGTACTCGAAGCATGTGGCCATCACCCCGAGCCACAAGTATCCACTTAAGGCTGAAGCTATTGACGGGCAGGCGAAATCCATTGGCTCAGTTGTAGACTGCTGCTGTAGTAGCTAGCAACCAACAGCAGGCAGTGCGATTTGAGTATCGAACCGAAGAAAAAAAAAAAGGGAAGCCCCGAATCTCTCCCTTCGTAATTTTCTTTTTCTTTTTCTTCCCCTATCGTCCCGATATTTTCTGTTCAGTTTACTCTAGGTGCTCCTGCTCCTTCCTACATTTCTCACCCATCCGCCCCCCCTCTTCTCACCTTCTCCAGCGAACGAGACAAGCCGTGGCTCTTCAGTCCGCCAAACCCGCCAGCCGCGGGTCCTTGATGTCACGCTAGATACCGTGCCAAACTCCAAATGCCCTCCCCACGCAGACTAAAGTTAATAGCCGTAGCGGCGGTAACAGTGTTTTTGATTGTTATCTACTACAGAGTGCTTATCCCTCCCTTCCCCCTCTATTCGTCGCTCCGTCTGTTTCTAACGGAAAGCCCAAACAGAGCGGGAATGATGCTGTCAAAAGGGAAACTTACATGCAAACGATGCAAAAAGCCGCTCAGGATCGCGAGAATGCGGGCGTGGGAAACCGCCTCCGCGAAGCGGCCGACGCGGCGAAGAAAGCGGCAGACATGAAGGCCGGGCCAAAACCTGATTCTCCGAGGGCGGTGGAGGCGGTGATGAGGGGTCGATTGGAACAGGGGCCGATTGCGAAGGAGGGGGATGATGCTGATGATGGGGGCGAGTACAGCGCTATAGATGAATTAGCGGAGGTGCTGAGGAGGTCGCCCAGTATGTTCTCCTTCTCCTCGTTTGGCTATAAAGTTGCTGGAGCTAATGCCCAAACCCTAGTAATAATCTTCTCGAAGACCTACTGCCCACACTCCAGCGCCGCAAAGGACCTCTTTTTGAATGCCTACAAGATTGTGCCAACGCCCTACGTCGTCGAACTAGATAACCACCCCCACGGCTCTGAATTGCAGGATTTGCTGGCGAAGCAGACTGGGCGGCGGACTGTTCCTGTGGGTTCCACCGTTTCTCTCTTTCCTTCTTTCTTCTTGCCTTGGGAGTAGCTAATGGTGGTGGTGGTGGGTGACAGAACATCATGATATCCGGAAAATCCATCGGCGGTAACGATGACGTGCAGCAGCTCGAGAAGGATGGGAGATTGGGTGATACCATACACAGCATGGGTGGAAAGCGGATTATGAGAGTGTTGAAGCTCAAGGAGTGATCCTTCGATCCTTCTGTTTGTTTTCTTGTTCCATTTGTTTGCTGTTGGGGGTGTAGGATTGCGAGGTGTTTCCAGGGTGTATTCATAGTCACGGTTACTTGTTGTTCCATGCTACTGGAACTCATCCACGTTTGTCTCTTGGTGTCGGCTGCCGAATTGGGTCGGGGTCACTTTTTTGTAATGGTTCTGCCGTGAGGCGCTGGTTATCATACTTGTTTCAATAGGAATGAGAGAGAGGCGGCGGGGACGACAGAAGACTATGAGGATGGCATTATGAGGTTTGTTGAAGACGAGTGGATATGCTAAATCCGGTGACACGCTCGTACTGTACTCCCTACAGTACTGCGCGGAGGGTTCCACCACAGCTTCCAAACAATACCGGTAGCGATAGGCTCATGTAATCCTTCCGCAATACTTGCGTGGGTATACAGTGCCGGTATACAGGTAATTCGGGCAAGCACCAATACGGTAAATACAGGGATCCGCTTGGTACTGTACGGTACTCGATAACTTCTAGTACGTCTACACACTTTGGATCATTTCCCTCATACTGAGTACCGTATGATTCACATATAGCACATACTGAAGCACACAAAATTCTCGTGCTACCGCTACTGCCCACCGGTGTCGCCACAAAACACGCAGATCAGCGAAAACTCACCCACGAACATAATGACGATCACCCGCGGATGCCAGCCCATGCCAGCCAGACCCTGACTCATAAATAGGGTACTGCGGTACAACGTGAATGCGGGGTATCTCATTCGTAGGCTGATACCCGCTAATAACCGTATAGCGTCATATCGGTGGTTTCTATGACTACTGGTAATCGCTATTTCCTAGAAAACAATGTGCGCTGTCAAGCCAGTCAGCCGCCCACATAGATATCCGCAGTGCTCGCATTTTCTTCCCTTTATCTCTCCCTCCTCCCCCGTGTGTGTGTGTACGAGTACGGCGGAGGGGGAGGGTGTATAAAGGCTACCCTCCGGCATGTCTGGGAGGGGACAGGAGAGCTGTGATGAATATGCCCATGATATGCTTCACTCGCCGATATCCAGCCTTTTCGGGGGCGAATGGGATTAGCTAGGGGTTGATCTGAGCTTGTGGAAGGTTGAAGGTGGTGGCCGCCGAGACCGGGTTGGATTGAGTATAGTATGGGCTTTTCTTCCTATGATCTACTGACGTTGTATATATTGGGGTTTGGCAGTGTGATGGTGTGGTTCTGGTCGTTTGTGAAGTATCCACGACCAGAATTATATTATTTTGTAAATACCGCAGATAGCTACCGCAGTGACACGGCATTTCGAGCTCCGCCGGGTTTGGGACATCGTACCTCAAGGGCATGCAGAAACAATCACAACCACCTGAAACCTTTAGAATATGAAGTATTAGACTAGCGTCCGATCGGCAAATTTTACCAAGTGCCAAGTGCCTCTCTCTATCCCTCCGACCGGCTTCCGGTCCGAGACTACGGCACGACCACTTGTCCCAGGAAGGGCGGCCCCTGGACCATCAGCAGCAATAATCCATGTAAATAGAGGCACCTCACCGGCTCCGGGGTGCCGTATATCATACAGCATATACAGTATATCCGGTTCGGACCACTAAATGGCTGGCTCATGTTCAGGTGTTCCTCTGCCGAAGCCTGTGCAGTAATCCCTACACAAACTTTTTAGAATATCACCCAAACCGACAACATAACCACTCCTGCCCAACCACTAACCAGCATCCACCCCGCAAAATCAGACTTGCCTTTTAAACTGATCACTGCTGCCACTCTATAGGCCCTCCTGCGCATTCCGTGGTCCAGAGTTCGGCTAGGTTACATCTCCTGGACGGAGAGCAAACCTTGGACCCAGACTTCTGGACCAAAGACACGGCAATGGGCCCCAGAGGGCCGGAGGGCATCGCCGCTCCACTCCAAGCTCAGCAGTATCTGAGGTTCTCATCACTTTATGCATTCCTCCGGACGCCTTTTGGTCCGAAGACACCGGGAAGCAGGTTGGGTGGGAGGGTGCGCATTGAGGATAGGGCAGCGGGGGATTATACCTTCACATTTGACTGCTGACTAGAATCCTAATCCCGCCATTAAATTGTTGAGAGTGAGATTCTCAAACTAATTTGTGATGCCATTGGGGTAAATCTCTCGGCCTGCGGCACGGCCGGTTATTGGTGCCTGGTATTGGTGTCAGGGAAAGGTATATCGATCTCAAGAGTTGACGTAGTAGGCAGTCAACAAGGACAGGTCGAAGATGCCATCAGTATGTTCCCATAGAGAGCCACTGTGTTTGTAGAGCGGTCACAGCTATCAAGGCTTAAGAAAGCTGGGGTTCGGCTTGTACTCGAGTACAGCACCAAGAAGATGCAGATGCCTCTCTTCTCACCCACCCTGGGTCCGCCAAGACAAGCCCCTGTTCTCCATGCAATCTGATAAGATAAAGCCGCGGCCCAAGCAGTGGTAAATGGAGCTGCATACAGCCCCTCCCCCGCCCTCACAATTTCTAATGCTTCACTCATAATACTATCCCGCTCCTCAACTCCAAATGCGGCTCCAAAAAGTCACTTCCCTCCCTCCGCAAGCGGAGCGGGTATGGCAGGTCTCAATTCATCCAACCCTCCCACTTGTGGCCACCGCCTCCTCCGACAAAACCGCCCGTGTCATCTCGATGCAAACCTACAACTCACTCTCAATAATTGAAGGTGGGCACAAGCGTTCCATCCGAAGTGTTGCCTGGAAACCCGGCCTTACCGGCGAATCTGTTCTCTGCACTGGCTCCTTTGACGCAACAATTGGTATCTGGCGGCGGTATGAGCATGACTTGGACGCTAGCAATAGTCAAGGAGGGGACGAGGAAGAGGAGGAATGGAGATTCGCTCTTGTGTTGGACGGGCATGAGAGCGAAGTCAAGAGTGTCGCCTGGAGTGCCGGTGGAAATTTCTTAGCCACTTGTAGCCGTGACAAGACTGTCTGGATTTGGGAGGAAATTGACGAGGATAACTTTGAGACGTTGGAGGTCATGCAGGAGCATACGCAGGATGTTAAATGCGTGACTTGGCATCCCGAGGAGGTCTTGCTTGCGTCTTCCTCCTACGACAATACCATTAGGCTTTATCGAGAAGGTTCCGAAGACTGGGTTTGCTGTTCGCTGTTGGAGGGCCATTTAGCTACCGTTTGGACTGTCGAGTTTGAAAAGCCTGCATCTCCAGGATATCGTGAAGAGTGGGGCTCCCGGCTCGTTAGCTCTTCGGATGACCTATCGGTAAAAGTTTGGACGAGGGTATCGAGATCCGGTTCCACGGCGGAAGCGAGGAAAGCCCCACCGAGTATTCTACGTGGTGAGTCGATCGAAGAGAATTGGATTGAGACGTCTACACTTCCTCGAGTCCATACACGGGCGATATACAAGGTCTCCTGGAGCTCAAAGAGTGGAAGGATAGTGAGTTGTGGTGGCGACGGGAGGATAGTCGTTTACGAGGAGGTATCCGCTCCCGATACTGAGATGGTCGAGAATGACGAGAGGAAACCCCCAAAGACAGAGTGGAGGGTTGTGGCGGAGATTGAGGGCGCTCACAGCGTGTTCGAGGTCAACTGCGTGCAGTGGAGTAAGCGGTGGGACAAAGACGCAAAGGGGGAGAATGACGAGGTTATCGTGAGCTGTGGAGATGATGGCGTTGTGAGTGTTTGGGAGCTAGCAAGTTCATGAGATTCTTTTCCAGTGGTTCTGATAGATTAAGAACTGAATTTCGTTAAATGGAGTTTTGTTGCTACCGTGTACTTTAACCAGGCACATGCTTTCTTCTAGCGAGTTGACGATAGAGCAATAATTCACTGGGGTTTTCTTTATCCACATTTTCTCGAGTGGTTGCAATCTCTAGTACCGTAACTTACCGGCATTAATCTGTAATGCGCTAACGTCATGCGGCTCCGCAACTCACCTACGTTATCGTACGGTAGCATACCGGTACCAGTCCCTTACACCCAAAACAGAAATTCCTAACCACACCTTTCACAGCTTCCACAAACCAATAATGACATCGCCTCCGTTCTACATCCCGTTTGCTCACTGGGACTCAACCCCGTTTCAACCTCCACACGCTTCAATTACCGCTTCGAAATTCCTCACAGGATGGCTTGTTTTAGGTTTGGCCGACGGCGAGCTCCTAATCCTCTCCACTGCTACCCATAATCCCATCCCGCGAGCTCGCCTCTGTGGCCACAAAGCTCCGGTGGTAGCATTGGAACCCCTCCTCGCCCGTACAGAAACAACTGAGCAAGAGTTATTACTCTCCCTGGACTCTGCGGGGGCACTGTGTAAATGGTCTCTAGCAGACGGTCGATGTATACAGAATGTCTATCCGACAATCTCGTCCAAGCCGCGGGGGCTACGGATTGTTAAGAAGCAAAAAGCTGACGCTAAAGATCCGGTTGTGATGATCTATGGGGCCAGCACTGAGATTCTAGTTCTTAACGCGGAAACCCTAGAGACGGTGCTCTTGTGGACAGGGAATCTAGATTGGCCCCTCCCGGTTGTCAGCGGCAGGAGCAGGGTAATGACTTTATTACCTGACGGACAAATCCAAGGATGGGGCTTGAATAGTCGGGGCTTAGGGGAAGGTGGAAGAGGAAGATTGGCGTTGGCAATGGAAAAGGATCATACCAAACAGCTCTCGGTGGAGATCAAGGCGGACATGGGCAGGATCAAAGGCTTTGAAAGAGTTTCTGAAAAGGGTTATGTGATAATCCAGAGGACCAGTGTTAGCTCCTATGTGCTTGAGGATGCGAAATTCACACTTAAAGAAATCATGCCGGTGGACTTGGAAATCGGTGTCGCTGGATACCAAATAGTTCCTAAGAAAGGGATTAGGAAGGCCTTGGTTATAGCCTGGTCAGAGGATGGCCAAATCAGAGTCTTTGAACTGGATGAAAACACTACCTTTGGCCACAGCGGAAAGCTGTCATTGAACCCTGTACGCGGCAAAAGCACAGTCATTTCGATAGCATGTACAAGACAAGAAGACAAATGCCTTATTGCAGCATTTAGTCACCTCGGGGGGTCGGATTCGGGGTGGGAAAGAGCTCATGGGGGTTTTCTAATGGGTGTATTCTCAGTTGGTTCCGCTGGAGTGGATATAGAATGGGTGGAGAAAACAGAAGGTGTGCTTCTTCAAATGTCCATACAGTAATAAAACTATCTGAAACAATAACTAATGAAAATTTGCAAACCCATTAGCCCTCACCTCGCTTTCCTTGCTCCAAGATGATATCGCATCGTCCTGCTCGGCTATATTTGCCAATATGCTGGCGATCGCTTATGGGTCTAGCCTTCGCTTTCACTCGTTGTCCTCGTTTTTACTCTCTTACCATGAGCCGATTAAGGAGATACGTATACCTACGACTGCTCGTACCTGCCTTCTTAAAAGGGTGAGGATTGGCGAACACGTTGCATATGGTAAGGATGCAGGAATAAAGGGTGGGAAAGAGTATCTTATCGTTGGAACCACCAATGGAGAGTTGTTCATTATTGAGGCACCGTAAGTCCTAGCCCTTCCCCCTCAATCAAACACCCTCCACTAACATAGCCATGCGTGACAGTGCATTCCAACTATCGAAAAGGCTCCCAATATCATCTACAGCAGTGTGCTCCGCCAATCTTCTCCTGTCAAACTTGGGTAGGAGACTACGCTTTGCTCTCATCGCTTCCTCAGCAGATGGAACCGCTTCTATAGTAGATGTAGAACGCGCTCGCATAATGGTCACTTTCCCGAGCCACGATTACTCTCCCCTTGTTTCATACGCCACCAAGACCGCGCAGAACGTAATCCTTCTAACCTACGAGGATTACGTACGTCGGGAGTGGAATCTGGGTGAGGAGGATGGAGGCGTGCTTAAAGCCCCTCCATCCTCTCGCGGAGGCGATAGAGATAGAGGCTCTCTAGGCACATATGAGAGAGACCTCACAGGGGAGGGGTGGCGAGAGGTTCGTGTGGGCAAATTTGAACTCGTGGATGAAGACAGAGAAGGTGAGGGGGATGACGCAAATGGGGATGGCACTATCAAGAATTGCGAGAGGTTATGCGAGAGGGGACTTCCGACCGCCTCTGTCAATGTCCGGGCTGTTCTGGATGTATTAAGTCACGCAACAAGGATAGCTAAAGAACGAACACGGGCTAGTGAAAGGAGAGTCGTGGGAAGTCATCCTGCCCTCATTGCTGCCAAGTCATTACTTACTTCCCTCGTCCCTGGCGGGATAGAGGAGCTATTGGGCCGGGAAGAAGAAGGTGGCTGCGAATGGCGAACCTTGGTTCAATCATTATTCTTCCGGAGGAAGAAACCGGCGATGGTCGGGCAGATGGGCGCTGGGAAGAATGTATCCATACTGGCGAAGGAAACCTTCAGCGAAACTGAGGATGGGATATCGGGTATCAGTCCTACCGTTTCCGCATGCATATTGTTGGCCGCCTTGTCCACTGTCGGCGGATTACTGGAAGCTGGCGGGAATGGCGAATTCTTCGATAATGTCATTGGAAGGGCGTTGGGTCGGTTGGCCATCGCGAAGGACGAGCCAGCATTGGGAGTGTTCGCTAAGTACTGGATGGACGAAAATCGTATTTCTAAACTTCTGTGGCCTCATGAGAGCTTAATCGGCTGACAGGATTGTGTAGCGGTAGTACGGGCAACCGCAAGGAGATGTCTTAGTATTGCTATAGGCACCCTATCAGAGGAGAGGCGAACGAACACAATAACCTACTGGGCACGTTTCTGTAAGAACCCGCTGTCGTATGGGGTCCAGCCCTAGCTAACCTTGAGTCAGTACCCGTGCAGGTTCCACCAGAATTGTTTTCATCGAAAGAAGTAGTTCGATCTGTTATTATTCTTGGGCAATTAATCACAGGTCACCCCGATAGTGTTGAGCAAGGGTATAACAACATTCATGATATCCCCCCGCATACCAGAAGAGCACATCTCCTAATTGTGATCTAGATTGAAGAAATGCATTGCGCTGTCAGTTGAACTGCTCCTAGGAGATAGCAACCACTCGTTCCAGGACACAGCCATAGAGCTGGTGGGGCATGGTTGGACAGCTTTTCAATCCCTCTTCGACCCCTTTGAAGTAATTCATATCTTGATCCGCATAGCCGCCTCGACAATGGACGACTTCTCCGAAGCCCGGCGAAAGACTCTCAACAAATGTATACTCGAGATTGCCGAAAAAAACTCCCCTCTTCTGGGATCTGGTCTAGCTAATAATATTTCGTACGGCTCATCCTCTTCCCAACCCACCGCGTTAGCTGCGGTATCGCTCTCGACAGCACTGGGTGTCTCTGTTGCCGCAATGAGAACCGTGATCATGATAGTCCGCGAGGACGCAATATTGTTCCGGGACGTACTAAGTTTGATAATCGCTGCCGTCGTCAAGATATCAGACCCAAACGGGGGTTTAAGAGAAAAAGTCATGCCAACGATAACGGAATTGATCAACGAGATGGTGGAAGCGTGCGTAATTCCTGGACCTTTTACCAAGCCCTACTGACCCGGATATTTAGATATCCAACCATTGCCTTCCACCGCCCGACACAACGGCTCGCACTGTCAATCTCCCCGGGGATAATAATGATATACGATCTCAAGACCTCCACAGAAGTCAATGCTCTGCAAGGTCACCATAGCCTCGCGAACTTCCTCGCATTCTCAATCGACGGCAAATTTCTAGTAGCAGTAGACCTTGAGGAGAACATGTTCTTTGCTTGGAAGTTCGTGACCGGGCTCCTTAGCTTCATTGGTGGCGGGAACGATGGAGCCCCAGCCACATTACTGCCAAAAAGGAAAGAATCCTTTGCCAATGAGCAGAATGTTGGGATTGTCGAAATTGAGGTGTGCATGACCGTGTCGTGCTCGGGTGATTGAACCGATAGCTGACAAAGAATAGTGGATCGGAGAACGAAGTGTAAAAGTAACAGCCGGCAGTCAAAGCACGGTCTTCCAAAATGTAGATTCCATGCAGGGGAGCAGTTGGAACATTTTGTAGCTCATCCATATAAATACCGGTACCATAGCAGAGGATGCCAATCACACCACTACCGTAGCATGATAGTAATCTCTCGACGTGAGTTGTCCCGGAGAGGGGGAGGAAAAAGAATCACCCCAACTTGCACAGTGCAAACATTGTTTTTGCCCTCGTCGGTGGAATTACCGTGCGAGCATAATAACGTACCGATACTGGTGCTTTCCCGGACCCGAACAGAGGCGGAATGAGAGACCCAGAGTCAACGAGGAGGAGGGTTATTCAACGGGTGGGCATCGTTACAAGTACCATAAGATGCTCGTGCAAGTACCGGTACAAGTGCAGTAGGAGCAGTGTGCTCAAGCGCTCCATGATTAGTCTACCGGGATCACACGGTTTGCAATTGTGCTCTCGTTGGAACGCGTGCGACCAACAGAGCGGGACAAACACGGTAAAAAAGAAAAGAAAGAATTAGTGATATGATACCAGTACGAGTACATGTACCAGGTAGTTGTATTGTACTGGTACTCGAGTACCGTACCCGTACTTGAGCGCTCGGGCACCCCTCTCAGCCAAACCCGTCGTGGTACAATACAACCACCCATATTGGTAATCAACAGCCCGCTGTCGCGATAAGTTCGGAAGGACCGGTACCGGTATGCATGTGTGGTCCTGCTGTACTTGTACGAGTACTCGAGTACTTGTATATTGTATAGACCCAATTCTTGGGCTCGGGGGGCCATTGTTGTGGGTGGTCGTCATAGGGGCTTATGGGTTTTATGGTGGACAGGGGGAGACTTTGGGTCCTGGGAAGTACTTGTATCGTACTGTGCCGTATAAGAGGTTGAGAAAGTCACCCAGTCAGTGTAGGGTATTTGCGATCCTCGGAATCTTCTGCAAGTACCGGTACCGGCATATAGCAGTTTAGATTGGCCCGGGAAATGCAAGGCGTTGTCGCTATTGGGTCTCGCTGATTCGGAGATTTGGACTTGCATAGCGGTGAATATCATGGGGTATGATACGGTACCGATAGCTGTCCCTACAGTATTGTCAGACTTTGATCACAAACCGCCGGTACGGGTTCGAATGTGCTCGTACAAGTACCGGTACTCAAGTACCATCCCATCAGCCATCGTCCTGGACCCCCCGCGGGTCCGGTACGAGCCGATTATTGGGGAGTGGCGAGCGAGACGCAGGGAATCTCTTCCCATCGCGGAGAAAAGTCGATGATTGGTCCAGAGAATTTGCTCTCTCAGGGGAAGTCTGTGTTCCTGCAGGAACGCTATTCCAAAGCGGGTTTAGCCAGTTTCCTGATATGAGAGTGTGAGCAGGGGACCGTATCCGAGTCCAACCAATTTGCTTTGGAGGGAAAAGGGTTGAAGAGTACTTGTACGGTACGAGTACCAGTACCTTCTTCCACTGTAGGCCGAATGCTTACCGGTATTGCTATCGCTGTCCCTTTTTCCCGTACAATCGGCGGTGACCTTTTTCTCCTTTCTTCTTTACAAGAGACTTCCTCTCCTCCTCCTGTGCGGGAATTCACCGGTGTGAGTGAGTGCGGTGCTCCTCCCCCCTCTACTCGTACAAACGCATCCCTTTCCTCCTCTCTCCATCTTTCCCCCTCTACCGTACCCCCTCTTTCTCGCCATCTTCCTCCTCTTTTCCCCATATTCTTCCTTGGTGGCTTCTATTTCTGTGTCGGTTTGCATTTGCCATTCAGAGGAAGCCGGTGCGTGTGGTAGAAGTACCGTGCGGTACCGTACCGTACTGCTCGTTCTCCTGCTCCATAAGTACTTATCTCACACATTGCCGACAACCTCTCCTGCATACAAAGTGCATACAGCTAATCCCCTGGGGAACCTAGACGCATCCACGCTAGTCTCCTCGACAGACCCTGGAAGCATTCTCCTCGCCTCCTTGTGTCACTCGCTACGGCTTGTGTGGAAAAACTCTCCTCGCCTTCGTGCGGTTTTCCTGCTACCGTTTCTCCTGCAGCTACTTAGGCGTGACTTTCAGCTTAAAAAAATCCACTTTACTCGTGCAGCTGCGACCGACGTGAACCGCCTCCTCACGCGATTGTACGTGAATGATCCCTCTTGATACCCGTTTGAGAGCGTGATTGATTGTGCGAACGATTCCACATTTTTGTCAGCTTTCCGGTGTATCGGTATCATCCCTTTTTTTTTTCTTTCTTTCTTTTTGTATTGTCTTCTCCTTTCGAAAGGGTGAAGGAAAGCCTTTTCCCCCACCCGTTCCGCCCCCGTTGTATGGCACGTTGACCTAGATCCGTATTATCGCCCCGAAGATCCTGCCCCCCCCTCACCTCGATCATCTAGCATTCATTTCACGAATATTATATTCTCACATTACATTTATTGTTCTCCCCCTCTATTGCCGGCTGCCACGGGCCTCCGATACGAAACCGGAATCATGGCGTCCTCGATTCCAGCTGCACCGCTTCCACCTCCTCCACAAACCCCTCATCGGCACTCCCATAATCCGGGTGCAGGTCCTCGCCAGAAGCCCGAGAACCCTCGTCGTAAATCTGCGCCTTCCCATCGAGGTCACCTCTCATCTGCATCCACAGCAGCAGCTTCCCCAGAAGTCATAACCAATCTTGTCGATTCTCTTAGTAGGCTTTCACCAGGACCTCTACATAACCCCTCCCTTTACGGGTCATTGCATGCGCCGAATATGTTCCCTGCCCAGCCATCTCCACGAGAGTTGGATTACGGTTGCACCGTTGGGATTGGAGGTATTGGTCGAGATGCTGGATTTCTTCACCCTGATGATGCTGCGCTTGCACCTGTGGTGAGAACTGCGAAGCCTCCCAGTGGCTTTTCCATTCACACAAATGGGTCTAGTGAGGGCGTGTCGAGGAGAGGCTCATATGCCTCTGGTATATCCGTTGGGAAAGGTGGTGTTGACATACCGAGTTATGTCCGGAATTATATGAACAGGGCTGCGGGAGCTGGTGACGGCATGGCTGATAGGAGGAACTCCAGAGAGAGCAGTGTGAGTGGAAAAAGCACAAGAAGGGATGGTGGGGGGAGTCGGTTGAGCTATATGTCCTCGCGCGAAAGGATGATGGTGGAAAAGGGCCGGTCGCGCGACCGTGATGTGTCACTGGAAAGAGATAGTGGGGGGGAATTGAGGATGAGTGCTGCTGGAGTATTAAGTGCAGCTAGTGGAGGTGATTACAGAGGAAGGGGGAAGACTGAGGAAGCAGGGGGTAGACATATCCCCGTAAGAAGGAGTAGCTACGGTAAGGGATCGCCGCAAAGGATATCCAGCTACCCTGCAGCGATCACTACCGGTATTTCACCACTGAATATGGGTTCTCCTTTGGGGTCGCCGATGTTTCCAAACCATGAGGAGGTGGACGAAGAGGGCAACAACGATGCCGCTCCAGCGCCTGACCTTCCGAGAAATCGACCTGAGAGGGATCGTAAACGCAATTCGAAGCAGTTTCCAAAACGTGCGGACAGCTTGAATAGCGGGGTGGGACGTTCGCCTAGCAAATCCAAGCGAAAGTCGGAACCGCAGAGCGTTCTTGCAAACCAATTCGCGCAACAGCAGGCGTCTCCGCCACGTCCGTCCTTCCAAAGTGCGCCACCGGAGACCACTCACTACGAGCGCCCCTCCTCCGCGGACTCTATCGACGATGCGGTGGATTCGTATCTGTGCTCCCCACGCCTTTCACAAAAGATTCGTATGCCCACTACTGGTCGTATTATCTCGTTCTCTGAAGTTGGCGACCCCAGCGGATTTGCGGTTTTTGTCTGCGTAGGGATGGGCTTGACTCGCTATGTTACGGCCTTTTATGATGAATTGGCGTTGACGCTCGGCCTCCGACTGATTACGCCAGACCGACCTGGTGTCGGCGAGTCTGAGGGGATCGACGAAAATGAACGAACGGTCCTTAATTGGCCTGACGATGTGCTTTATATTTGCCAGTCACTCAAGATTACAAAGTTTTCGATACTCGCTCATTCAGCTGGCGCAATTTACGCACTTGCTACAGCATTGAGGATGCCCGGGCATATAAGAGGGAAGATTCATTTACTTGCTCCTTGGATTCCGCCTTCTCAGATTGAAGGTGTGGCTGGTGCCGGTAAGGAGGGTGAGGAGAAGGTTGGGAGCATCCCTACGGCACAACGAATTCTCCGAGCTCTCCCAACTCCTATCCTCAAAGCTGCCAACTCTTCATTCATGTCAGCGACGTCTTCATCGCTTACTACGTCCCTTCCACGAACAGGAGGCCGGGATAGGAGTCGAAAGAACAGACGAGCTGCTTCTGTCGCTGGTGGGGATATGCGGAAGGGTGACTCTCCTGGTAAAGATAGACCGGGAAAGGGTAATGCCGACATGCCTTCCGGTCCACTCTCGCCAACTTTAGTAGCGGCGAAAAATGGAATTGGGAAGGATGGCGCTGCTGTGACGGCTACTGAGAAGCCCTCTCCTGAGGAGGCGGTGATTGCGGCAGCTCTTGCCTCAGCAGCAGAGAGAGAGCGACAAATGTCTTACGATGAACGACTAACCCATGCAATTTGGACGCTTAGTACACGGAATGCTAACCCCGCCGTTGACCTGCTTGTCTGTCTTGAGAGAAACAGACCGGTTGGGTTCAGGTACGTTGACATTACGCGTGCGGTGGTGATACACCACGGAGCAAGGGATACCAGAGTGCCAGTCGAGAATGTCAAGTGGCTCGGGAAGACGATGCGAAGGTGTGATGTTAGGATTCTGGATGGCGAGGGTCACGGCTTAATGGCTAGCGCAGTGGTAATGGGCGGAGTACTCGACGAGATTGCAGCAGAATGGCGAGACTGGAGAAAGGTTGTTGAGGGAAGGGAGGTGCATGGTGGAGGGCGGGAGAGAAGGTGGGCCAATTGAGCTCTAGTTTGATGTGTTTTCCTTCTGGAAACTTATTCTTTTACCCTTTCATTCTTTTAGCGATTGAATCACACCCACGGACGTCTTTTTTTCATATATTTTTATTTTATCCTCTGCAGTCTTACGGTTTCTCGGATTTCGACCCTTCGAAGCTAGTAATAGACGCTTTCGCTTCCACGATCTTGCAAACGAAACGATACTTGATTTTATTTCTTTCCATTTATATCACTTGGGTCATGGGAATATCCAGCGGAGCAGCGGGCGGTTTTCAATCTCTTTGTCATATTCTTTTGTATTGCGATTGTAACTCTCTACTTTATTATAGTTGTATGCCGTGATGGCGGAACCTTATCGAAATTTCGGTTCACTTCTATTATATTATTTCTCTTCAGTTAGCGGGGTTATCCGAGCAATGGATTCTAGCATGCGCTGCATATTGTAGGGTTGTTTCTGTTGGTGGAATAAGATGCTGTAGGACGATGGTCATGTGTTCTGTTTATCGATGGAAGTTTCGGTTGGTGTAGGATTAGTGCTGGTGTCGTAGTATCATAAGAGGGTAGGTAATTCAAGAAGCAAGTTGAGATGTCGGAAGATTTGAAGCATAAAGTATTAGGGATTTGCGGTGGGTCCCTGGGGCTAGCAACATCGCCACCAGAACGGAAACAGGTAGTCCAAACCCGTCATCCTCCTTTCGAATGTCTGCATCCGCCTTCCCCCAATCCTTAGCCTCCACTCCAACACCAATACCCCAATACTGTAGCCCCCTGGACCTGCATCTAGTACCGCGAACCGACACCTTCTCCCGTGGCAGGCCCGTCGTATGTTGGTACTGCGGCGGAAGGGCATTTCGGAAGGCTTACCGGCACAGTAGGGGCATTTGTGATCGACGTTATTGTCATGGATTTGTGTGGTAGGGGGGTGGCTCATGTACTCGTATGTTTTCTAGGGGTTACAGATGTGGTTGGGTGAGGGAATAATTGGGGGTTGGTGCAAGGGGGGGGGGATGTGGGGTTAGAAATTTAGTTGGCACGAGTACCGGTATTGCTGTTAGTTTAGGTTGGTACTTGTAGAGGTACAAGTACAGTATACCCCCTGCAGTGTTTATATACTGTGCATGCCCTAGAGATATACAGGCACTAGTCATATTGGTGGCTTTTTCTATTGGCAGAAATCAACCTCACAGATGAGTACGAGTACTAGTACTAGTACAATACCGCACAAGCACGGGTCCTCGGGTACGGTAGTGTACCGTACGGTACGGTACCGGCACGAGTACCAGGTAGAGCTAACATGCGACTCTAAATGCGGTTAGCACGTATGGACACACGAGCCACCTCTCTCCGAACGACGATCCCAGATTAGGCATACAGATAACCAGACCTTCGGGGACAAAATACACGCCTTACCGCGAGGCGACAAGTCAAGCCCGTCCCATAGCGGCACAAGCTATTCCAATTCACAAAGGAAAGGAGGGAGAAATTTCCATGATGGGTTCGCTGCTCGGGTTAGAGGAAAAAAAGGGCTATACCGGTACGGTAACTTAAACCTGAACGCATTTTGTAATATCACTCGATTACCCTTTTCGGAATAGTCTATAATATAGAAACAAAAAACACACCAGGTTGGATTTTTAAAATATTTTTTTAAAGAGACTTAGTGTGATGGGAGGGAATTCGGTGCTCTCGACGCTGCGGGGGGTGGCAGGGTGGATGGTTTGTACTGTACGGGGTGGGCGAGCTTATGTTATTGTGTGCCGTGGTGGATTTGCACCACGGGCTCCTGCCTGGTGGATTACGGTATCCACTGCTTATCGGATATAATAGTGCTTTCCTGGTTGTTTCTGGGATTGTACGTCGTCATGAAGTCTCACTCGCCGCGTTTTGTGGGTTAATGTATTGCTGAAGCGGTTTTGGGCATTGGGACTGGTTTTGGGCGGAGCGGGGAGCATTCGGAGTCAGAGGGTGATGCCGTGATGAGTATAATGCTGGGAGTTGGGGTATGGCGATTTCCATCCAAAGCCTGGGAACTGATTGGGTGGATATGGAGCTCCGGAGGGGGGGGGTTTCATCTTTCTGAGGCTGCCCCCCGGACGTTGCGTGGGTCCCTGCAGTGCTAACTACTGCCCTGGGAGTGGACCGTATTGTAATTCGTGCGCCGGCAGGGCCGCAGGAGACTCTCGCCGCTGGCTATTTCACACTAAAAACACTAATTTTCAGAGACTTGCATCTAAGCTACGCCCTGGTTAGAAATTTCTTTGGGAAACTGTGGGAATCAGGAGGGCATCTCTACCTTTCCATCACTGGAGCATCAAGTCTTCCGAGTTTGTAGCTCAAGACTGCCCCGGGGTACTGCGCTGTAAGGTCTGGAGGTGACTCGAGATTTTTTATGGGAGTGGAATGAGGGGGGGGGGGGGGGGGGGTATAGTATAGTGCATGGCGATCGCCTTTGTCCTATATTATCAGAGATTTCTCGGTTCCATCATCCCCCTGTTGAATTTTTTTTGGCCGCAAAACAACTCCGCCTCTTTCTTGGTCCGACCTGCTGTGAGATAAGGTAAGCACCCGACGGATGTGCTCCTGTCTGGTGTAAAGGGACCACTGGCAGGAGTTTTCTTTCGTCCTATCGTGGTATGATACTTTACAATTAGCGTAGGCTCCTCGGGCCCTCGAGGGAGTTGGAAACGATTTTGTCCTTTTGTGGATGGTCAGAGACCTTTATGCCAACAACCCCAGCTCCTGGAGATGCGTAGACGCGATAGGAAGCTTTCTTCCCCACTCCCGACCAAGAAAAGGACGCCTCACCTTCGCTAGGCATAGGGATTAGGACAGAAAGAAGAACGGTATCTGGTCAGATGGGGTATCGAACAGATGGGTCTCACTTTTTGATCAGTAGTGCGGCGTAAATTAGGAGGATAAAAGATAAAGATAGATAGATAGGTGCCCGGGTAACCTCCATGAATGGCAGTAGGTACCTACCTTCAGGAAGGGGTTATATGAGATCTTCATAACTCCTGTAGAGCAATCACACTTAGGGGCTGTTTGGTACGAGCAATTCATCAATTCAAAATGCATTTTGGAACAGCTACCATGTTAACCGATTGACTTGATATGCACTTGAACATGCATCAACTATTAACCTAGTTCTGTAACTGTTCCTATCGACCCAAAACGCATTTTGAACCGACAAACGAATCAATCGGGGGCGGGCCAAACTGGGCCTTGATTACTCCCCCCTCCGGTCTCTTGCCGCCTCGATATTTTGCTTTCTGCAGTCGCCGTCGCAACACCTAGCGCCGTATTCATTATCACTCCCTAAGACTCAAGTTTTGTCTTTCACAGGTCTGGGGGTATAGAACAATTTTTCCGCTTTAGAAGCTCTCCAAGCCTCCTAGGGTAGTTCAAGTCATCCATCTCAATCCCCTCCGGCGGAAAGTCCACGAAGGAAGCATGGGAAGACGATGATTTACGTCCAATACGAGTCCGATCCCTCTAAGCTCAGGTTCCGGGAAAATTCGAATGATGGAAAAACAACGGGCTGGCTGGTTAGTGAAGCGCCCCCGCCCCCCGTATTTGACTGATCACTGGAAAGAGCTGGATTTTGGCGGCCACGAGGAGATCGTGCTCGGAAAGATCAGTCTCCAGCTTCTAAAAGCTCCTGATGTAGGTTGGCTGCTTTATCGGATTCAACCAAGGGGGTGTTTGGCACATCAAAGTTTGTAAGGTAATACCTTGCAAACCGCAGTTTATAAGGTATGTTAAACTGTGGTTTGTAAGATACACCGAACTGCAGTGTGTAATGTGGGAAAATTCTATGTTGCAAAGCATGTGCAGCCAAACACATCTTATCTTATAAACTGTGGTTTGTAAGGTAATACCTTACAAACCTTGACGTGTCAAACACCCCCTGGGCTGTCCAAAGCGAATACCCAACATGAGTGGTGTTATCAGAAGCATTGTGAGACAATCCTAGCCTGCAACCTAGTCAAAATGTATCCCATTACTTTACAATTATCATATGAGAATTTTAAATATCAAGTTAAGGTCCTGGGGGAAAGGGCATATCTCTTAACATTCCGAGCCCGTCTTTGGATATATTGTGAGTGTTTCTAGGTTAAAATTGGGCTGTTAGCGCAATATGCTTTATGGGGTCTAAATTTTGTCCGCTAAGAGGACAGTCGAGTGCTTGGGGTCGGAGGATTTCTTGGAGGAGCCCGGAACAAGCTCAGGTAGTTTATTCTTTTCTCTTCGCTGCGGATGTTTCTGGGAGGGTATGGAAGCCTGTAGGTTGGCGGGAGAGCGTTTGGAGGTGTTTATCGGGACATATATTATATCCCGTTTGTCCTGCTTTGCAGTGCTTGCTAGAGAACAGAACACGGGTGACTACTTTCTTTTCGTAACCCATTATCTTCCTATTTTCCTCCAGTGTCCGTACATCTCTATTTGAAGGAGGGTGGTGGGATGGCAGTTTGAGCGCGGGGTAGTGGATAACTTCAATCGAAATCTGCGGAAGACGGTCTGAGAGTTTGGCTCTTTTGAAACCTCCAACTAGATCTTCCGTGATGTCGGTTTATATTTCCAATTGGGCAAGAACCTTCCACCAGTATCGATGGGTTTGCAAACTGATTGCTTTTATTTTAATTCTCATACACCGCCAGCAAAGGAGAAGCCGCTTTACAAGTTCTCTTCTGCTAAGAAATTACAAGGTTGGCGTCGCAGCTGGGGTTTAGGTCCGAATAGAAAAACCGGCGCTCAAGCGGCACTTGTGGCGGCATACGCAAGTACTCATCCACCCACCATCACTCGTCAACCACACCACCACACCACACCTCTCACTTCCACCCCCCCCACCAGTTTCCATCTTCACTACTCACGAAAAGAAAAAAAAACCCATCTCATAGATATCCAAAAAAAAAGACCAACACAAAAAGAACAACCATGTCTGTCTACGGAGAAGATAAGGAGAGAGAACTCCACGACCGTCTCTCAGACTACATCCACGGTGGAGCAGACTATAACAATGCCGAGGAGCTCGAAACCAACCCCCCGGGGTCTCCGGATCCTCTCTTCGATGGCTGCGATTCCCCCGGCCCATCCAATATCGCTAGTGCTTTCGCCGCCGCCGCTTCTGGCCCCGTTACCCGTTCTCGCTCCGCCCTCCCCGCCCCCTCCCAGGGATTGGCCGAGGTCGAATTCCAGGTGGGAGCTGAGGCTGATAACGACGGCTGGACCAGCACGGACAGCACTGCTTCCCGTGCGGGCTCTGTTCATCCTGATGCTGGCTTCGCTGCAGGTACAGGTGGCACTGGTGGTGGTGCTCGTAGGGTTGGGTATGGGGGTGGGGGTAGGTCCGCTGCGAGGGGAGCTCAGTCTGTGGGTTTCGGTAGGGGCGGGGAAGATCCCATGTCTGCTGAGCAAAACACTGTCGTGAATTACACGTGCTGGTCTTGTGGCTCTATAGTTAGCCTTCGGAAGAAGGAGATGATTGTCATGTGCGACGGATGTGGGGGGAGGATTGTGATGAAGCTGAGGCCTCAGAAGTCAGTATTTCCTTTACTTTCCTTTGGCGGTGCGAGTTGGGGTTGGCTGATTAGTGGTGGTGTGTGGTTTAGAACTGTCACCTATTCTACCATGTAAGGTGGGAATGCGGGGGAAAGGAAAGCTGAGTGCGTGGAGGAAATTGAGTGGGATGAGCTTATTTTTCAGGCCACGACTTTGAATTTCAATCTTACAGCTTCACTGTTTGCTGCTTAACCATTGTCTCTGTGCTGTGAGTGATTTGCGATGATGTTCCCATTCCCGTGAGTGTGTGAAGGTGTGTGGTGAATGCTTGGTGTTTCAGGAGTGCAACGGTGTCGTCTGATTTAGCTCTAGGCGCATGGATAAAATTGTTGCTCCGGTGAATTAACACCAAATGTATTCTACCCCCATCGCTAAGCCATAGTGTTAGAAGGAGGGCCGGCGAACGGTGCGTCCATCCCCTCCGTTCGTATGAGCGGAAGCCACGGCTGAGACCTCCTATTATACCAGTAAGGCAACTCATTCAGGGGAATTCTCCGCGGATCCTCGGGGTTAGAAACGTTTATTCTCCCTCACTCACCACCAGGAGACCTCAGCCATACCCCTTCAAACCAAGCCAAGTATTCCTCTAGCTTTTAAGCCAAAACCCCCCCCGAAATTCGACACGTGAGTGAGGGGATTCCTTCGCCATAAAAAAAAAAGAACAAAGTATTCAAATCTAGTAATTCCGATTCTTTCCTAGTCGAAACGGGGTTCTCCGGGCGATTCCCCACGCTACTAATGATCCAAGTTGAGGGTTTATTTAGCAGGAATCATTGGTTGTCCCACTTCGGGGTTCCTGTAAGTTTGTGTTCAACTGCTGTGCTGTGTATATCAAGCTTTGTAAATTGTGTTGGCCTTAATAGTTAGGTCTAGCGAGTGACTTCTGGTGGAAAGGGAGTGGCGAAGCAAAAGCTTTCTTATCATATGATATATCATGTCACACGATATACCAGGGATTGCTAGTGTGGCTTGAACATTACGGTGAATAAGGCTGACAATGGCATCGAAGGAAGATGGGTAGATAGACCATATCTGGGAGAATACTTTTTTTTCAGAAGCTGGACGGAGGGGAATTAGTAAATTAAGTTGGGAAGTTCTAGCGCAAGGCTGTGTGTGCACCACATCACCAGAAATATTCTATCAAAAAATGTTGTGAAATATTTTCCCGCATCGATGACAATGTATTGTGCGAGTCCAGTAACAAAAAGAAATGCACCCCCCCCCCCCCTCCCCCGTTTTCCATACAAGACACCGGGGTTCAATATGTGCCTATCTAGTAGCAAAAAAAAATGAGGAATTTTTGTTTTTTTTGGCAGAGTTTCACCCCAGAGATTTACATATGATAGTTGAATTTCAGGGCTCTAGGAATTGTTCTACAGAGAGCTGAATGTCTAAGTTCTGAATGGGAGGCCAAAACCCACGCCAGGACAGCCAATTCGTACAGTATGGGATTTTGCATAGCGATGGCCTGGCCTGGTTTCCTGTCTCTGTATTGGCATCAGAGACTGCTGATGAAAAAGAAATTGAAAAATTCACAATGTTAAGCTCCTCATGGATGTCTATCAAATCATCAGGGCTTGGGGTAGGGTAGGATTTGTTGTGGTTGCTTCTAGCAGCTATAATAATTGAAAATTGGTGTATCGTATGGGAAATGTGGGTGGTGTGCTTCTTTTGTTGCCAGGCTCGTACTATTTGCCTTATCTATAGCATACGCTAATATTAGTAGTGGGCGGGTTGCCTTAATGTTGGAGGTCACACAGAGAAGACCGCAGTGGAAGTACAAAGAGATGGGACTGATCAAGAATGAGAGAAAGAGAAAGACGGGTGTTCTTCTTGTTGTCCTATAGATACATCTCAGATTGCCGTACTTATAGCAATTTGTGACATGAATATACATCAATGTGACTTCAGTCATTTCCTAGGTCCACAAGCTCCGAGTGGCCCAACAGCCGGCCCAACATATCCGCACTACTCATCATATTGCGGTAACATTTCCAACACTTAAGTTACTCCTCAGAACGAATGATACGACGTGACCGACGCACGAAGTTTACGAATGACAGCTCGTTTAAGCCATTGGGAACGTGATATCGTAAGTTATCCACGATAAGCCGAATGCCCTCGTATCGAACATACGAGCGCTAGCCCAACTTGGAGCTCCACTATTCTCAGAGCTGAGACATCGTACCCAGGCCTACCAACGAGCGCTTGTTCCCCCCTCCTCACCCCACCCTTCCCCATCACCCGTCACCCATAGCATGTTTAAGAGACTACGGATGCCCGGATCGGCAGTTCCATGGAGGGGCGGGGCGGAGCTAGCCTCCGGGACCCGACCCAAAAACGCGGATTCCGCCATTGAGTGTAACGAAAGAAATCAAAAAAAAAATACGGGGACCCCCACGAAGCTTTAACTACTGACAGTACCAGTGCGTACTATGCGATTGGACGCCCGGCCGTCCGTCCGTCTGTCAGGCGGGTAAGTTTAACCTTGTGCTATGGTGACATGGCCGGTGCGGGTGTGTTCGGGGACATACATTAAATGTATGGCATCATTCCGATCACGGACCCACGGCATTTGTAGTCCGCCACTTTAGATGCTGAATCCTGTACGAGGCCATACGCGCTTCGTGCACGTGCTAAAATATTTTTTGTGCAGTTATCTCTCATGCAGGTTCGCACTGGTGTGCGTGCGTGCAAAGCACTGCACTGTATTGTACTTAGTTTTAGCTACTGATCGATGTTGTGAGCTCTCTACTAATCAGAGTTCTGTATCAATAAAGGACATACCCCGATGCAGGAAAAGCAGGAAGGCTTTCTTTCTTGTGGGATCATTGCTTCGCTGATCTCTCCTGACCTAAATTTACTCAATCACGGAGTTTCTCTGCGGGGATGCTGGAGGGGGCACATACATTCAATACTGCTTCTTCAAGGGCTAAGCCGCTGTGAGGGCCCCTGTACGTAGCTCGGGCATCCCCGGCCCTTCGCTCGGGGGGAAGGGAGAGGGGAAGTCCGAAGCGGCTCTCTGGTAGCTTCCTCTTTGGCTCGGCTCTCCGAGCTCCGAAGCAAGGCTATCATAGCACAATTAAAAGGCCGCAGATCTGCGGGTGCCCAAATGCTTGCCCATACTAGAGTACCGGCCCCGGTACGATATGATACGATGGAGCAGGCGAATTCAACGCCCAAGAACGCTCCCCTCCGAACCTTGATAAAGTGCTGAATTCCATGGGTAGCATCTACTAGTTTCGGGCAAGAGGTGCCCCTTACCTGGGGCGAGTGTATCAGGTGTTCTGCTGCAGTAGCCGTTCCTTTTGCGATACCGGTATTGTACGGCGATCGTAGAGATATTATAGCCACTGTACACCGGGAACAAGGTCGCAAGCGGTTCCGGAGCCAGGTTTAGACGGGACATGTAAGTTTGTAGAGAAGGGGTAGAGGGGGGGCGGGTTGATTCCTATACTGTATGGAATTGCCCGTGGACAGCTTCGGGCGAGTGCGCTCGGATATGGTACGGTAGTCTTGTGGGTGGGAAGTGGAGAAATGGCCGCCTTCGTGGTCCGTATTTCGAGTTTGCCATGCATGGGATAGCCACGCCACGGCCCGCTCCGTACCATGGCAATCTGTGGCCTGAATGACAGCATCACTGGTACGGAGCAACAACTCGGCTACGTCAGGAGGGCTCTCATCAAAAACGGTTGGTCAGTTAACCCCCAATCTTTGGTGTCCAAGAGTGTCGTGATATGCGCTCAAGCAGCCGGACCAGTGGCGATGCTTGGAGTTATTCTCACAAATCGTTTGCTCCACTCTTGCTCGTTCTAACTGGTGAGAAACCTAACCGTAGAATTGGCAAATAGGAAGTTCTCACTAGCTGGTTTTGCGATTCCATCGTTGACATCCGTACTTTAATGTCGCTCATTTTTTTTTACCTTGCTGTATGAGGGAAAACGTAAGGTAGCGAAGTTCCTTTTTTCTCCCCTCATAGTTTTCCTCCGTCGCTTTTTCAACCGTAGGAAACAATTAGAATACCGGTATTTTAGCAATTGGATTTCTTCGGTTGCGACTGCCACATGCGGTGCTTCAATCCCGGCCCGTTCCCGCGTTCTCTTGTGCAGTCAAAGGAGCACTCGTACTCGATAGAGCAGAAGAAGCATTAGCTAGCATATGACCCAGGTTTACGCGACCTGGATTACAAATCGTGATCAATGTGCAAGGAAACGCATATCACTAGGGGGAAAAAAAAAGGCTCCGCTCACCGGTAACTGATGGGGGTCTCCCTCAAAAAAAAAAAATTCCTATTCTTTTCTTCCTTCCCTATTCCCTCCACTTACGAGTACTGTACTGTGGGCCTCTCCCGAAAAGTTTCCACCTTCTTGATTGCTCCAGACGGGCGAAGTTTAGGATGTCGGTAGGAATCTGTAACCCTAAAAAGCAGGCCCAACACCACCGCTGTGCTACTGTCGTAGGTTGCTTGGAATTGCATGCCGCCTTTCGACGTTACACTCCTCGCTTTTTTTTTTCGGACCCAGCCGGAATATAATAGCCCCAAAGGCCATACTGTACTAGTACATACTATAGTACCAGGGGATGTTAACCCATTTTCAATCGAATGCGCAGTAGTCGGGGGATAGAAATCTCGACGCCAAGGATTTCGGGTAGATGTGAATAGGAACGAAATCCGATTGTCTCACTCGCTAATTCCTTAGTGTTCAGCAAGAGGCTTGCTTTCCTCCTTTTTTACCATTTACCCCTCCCACGTTTCGCACGGGACATAGCAGTGGGTGAGCGCCGTATGGTATGTAGGCTAAGGAAACAAGACAGCAGTTTTAAAAGTCTAATCAAGCCTCCGGGATCCCCGAGTGAGACCCGATGTTCGGTGAAAGTGAGTTTCCCTTCAGCTGCGGGGCGCTGTGATGATGATCAGGCAATCAGCGGACAAGACCCCGGAATGTTTGTCAGTGGTGAGGGGAGGTGGCCCAAACTACTCAGACCGAGTGAAACATAGTGCATTGGGTGACCTTTAGTGACGAATGGTAAGGGGTGGGTGTGTATTTCGAGGCAATAATCCATAGGCCTATCATTGACCCGGCCTTTTCGCCGGCCTCCTTCCGTGTCGTACCGTTTCGCCGTGCGGTCCCGAGCCAAGGGTGCGAACCACAGCCCAATCGCGAGCAAGGAGGATTGGAGGGGGGGGGGGGGAAGGCAAAAAAACAAAAACAGAAAGTGTCGGTCCGAAGGTGGCACGGTTATCTTAGCGAAGATCTTGATGGGCATTGCACAGGCCAAAGCCCCCCCCAAAAAAACAAATGGACAGTCTGTGGAACCGGGAGACAGTGACGATCACACGCTCCC